AAAGGAAGGTTAAAAAAAAAAAAAAAAAAACCTTAGTACTTACTTTACTTCTCCTCCAGAACCAAGGCCAAGGAAGAAAGTCTATTCTGTTCCCTTACCACTCCCTCTGCCCTCACTAACCTTCTCTCCCTTCTTTCTACATGTGAGATCCCCTTTCTTCCACGCCTCTGGTTCCAACCCCCAAGATCACAAAAAAAGATTTAAGACATTTTTTCTTCACTTATCATTTCTTGTTTTCATTTTTTCAACTCTTGGTCATTGGAAATGTCCCATTTATTCTTATCATTTTCTTCCACCCTTCATTCTCCAGGGCCTAGGGAAATGCTCAGAACACATTGGTAGTCAATAAATGTTGAAACATTTGGATCTTAATGACCTCGCAGACACAATAGTTATTAGACATGTCTGTGGCAGCTGGAGATACCTCACAAAGCCTCTGGCAACCCCCAAGAAGAGAATCACAGAGTATATGCCTAGGAGTTTTAGTACAAAGTCATGCCCTCTTTGCCAATTTATTAGTTATCTATTCATGTATAATAAAATACCCCCAAAACTTTGGGGCCTATCTTAGACTTTGGCTACAGTAGTCTACAATAATTCACTATGTGAAAATCAACTCCTCTCTTTCTAGAGGGTCCTGGTAGAGACAGAGAGCATGATCATGGAACGCCAAGCATATTAGTGTGCTAGGGCTGCTGCTGTACCAAAGTAAGACAAACTGGCTATTTACACAACAGCAGTGTATTATCTCACAGTTCTGGAGGCTGCGAGTCCCAGATTAAAGGACCAGCAGGGTAGGCCCCTTCTGATCCTGTGAGAGAAGAACTTGGTCTGAGTTTCTCTCTTTGGCTTGGAGATGATCATGAACTTGTGTCTTTTTACCTCCTCTTCTTTGTGTGCATGTCTGTCTCTGTGTCCAAATTTCCCCTTCTTATAACCGGTCATGTTAGATTAGAGCCCCCCGCCAAGTACTTCTTTTTAACCCCATGACTTTTGTGAAGACCCTATTTCCAAATAAGACCACTTTCTGAAATACTAGGGATTAAGACTCCAACATGTCTTTTCTGGAAGAAAGGCATCCCATTATGAAGTGAAAATAGTATTTATAAGATATGGCAGGAGAGGGGCGCCTGGGTGGCTCAGTGGGTTAAAGCCTCTGCCTTCGGCTCAGGTCATGATCCTGGGGTCCTGGGATCGAGCCCTGCATCAGCCTCTCTGCTCAGCGGGGAGCCTGCATCTTTCTCTCTCTCTCTCTCTGCCTGCCTCTCTGCCTACTTGTGATCTGTCTGTCAAATAAATAAATAAATAAATAATCTTTAAAAAAAAAAAAAGATATGGCAGGAGAGCCTGAATGGTCGAGCAGGCACAAGAAAAACACATGAACAGAGAGCTTAGTCTTCATGATGGCTTTCTGGATGCTTCCATGTCTCTTAGGACACACCAGTAGCTTCATGGGAAGTGCTGGAGGACCAGGTAACAGGAGGGAAGAGCAAGCCTTGTGCCAAATGAGCTGGCACCAGTCCTAAGTGGATGGCTGCTCCCATCACAGCCCCATCCAGGGATGCCCAGAAATATGATAGAAGAGAAATCTTCCTAAGGGACAGAACTTTTATTACAGCTGTTTTTCCATTTTGTCTGGGAAGAGAGATGGCCTGATACAACATCAACACTGACTCACAGGTGGTGGCGAATGTGTTGGCCAGCTGGCTCCTTAGGGACTTGAAAAAACAAGACTGGAAGACTGGTGATAAAGAAGTTGGGGTAGGGGAGATTTGGAAAAGAATACCTTGAAATGGGAAGAGTGGGAAGGTACTTGTGTCTCATCAGCGTCTCACCTCCAGAGAACAAGTTTACCTGTCCTGTGGATGTCAGCCTTCCTCCCTCCAGCTTCCCCTTGCTGAACGTACAGTGTGCTGGGACAGGCATGGAGGTTAAGCAAGGGCTCAGCTATATTGCCTTCCCTCCCCAAGGCTGGTATGACTTGTGGCTTTCCTCCCCCACTGCTTTGTGTACAAACCGGTGAGAGAGCAGAGGTGAACACTGAGCTCCCAACATGGCACCATTCCCTGTAGTCTTTGTTGAACTTTTTTTCTTTTCTTTTTTTTTTTTTTAAAGATTTTATTTATTTATTTGACAGAGAGAAAGAGAGATCACAAGTAGGCAGAGATGCAGGCAGAGAGAGAGAGGGAAGCAGACTCCCCGTTCAGCAGAGAGCTTGATGTGGGGCTCAACCCCAGGACCCTGAGATCATGACCTGAGCTGAAGGCAGAGGCTTAACCCACTGAACCACCCAGGCGCCCCCCTTTTTTTCTTTTTTTAAGAGTCTCAAATATCAGTAAAACTTTATTTGCTTCCACTTTTACCTTTAAGAGAAACCCGGAGAAAGCAAAAGTGTTTTGTGTTTACAAAGATAAATGGTCTCTTTACCCAGAGAAGATCAAAACCTCAAACAACAGAGAAGACTAGAGGACCCTCCTCCACATCCCCTGAGCTGCCCTTGTCATCTTAGACAAAGTCTTCAGTCCACTGGCCTAGGACCCTGGGTGTGGCCAATTCAAGATTGAGGGCCAAGAAATCAGACCAATCTGTTCCTGTGATATAAAATTGAACAGAAGCTACACCAAGGGTCAAGTGCCTGTATTTCACAAGACACAGGAACCAGGCAGCTACTTATTAAAAAAAAAAAAAAAAAAAAAATCAAAATTCATTTCAGGCACAACTTTTTTTGTTTGTTTTGTTTTTAAATCAGTGAAAGAAAATGGGCCCTAGAAGCTGCAGTGATCTGAGCAGCAGCAAGTGTGTGCATTAGTCTTTGTTTTGTTTTGTTTTTGTTTAAATTACCACAATGCTGGCACACCTCATTTGCATGAAATTCTACACCATACATACTCATTGTAGTAAAATTACCCCCTCCCCAATCCCAGGAGAAAAGAAACTACTCAGTAGGATAAATTTCACTGAAATTTAACCAAACTTCATTAAGTGGACTGTGACAAGATTATAAATGGTATGAATGATATAAATGTATAAGTGATTATAAATGAAAAATAACATTTTAACATTTGGCCATCAACTTAAGGAAATGGTTTTTCTATACAGATTTTTATGATTTTTGTAGTTTCTAATATATTCTACCTTCATATGGTCCTCAGAATTAAAGCATAATGAACAGGGAGAGAAAGAAAAGAACACCACTGAGAGCGAAGGCAGTCCTTGCTGGACGGCTCTTTTCACAGTGCCAGCTCACAGGTTGCAGAAGCCGTACTGACTTACCTTTTGAGCAGGTGGGAAAGTGAAGAGTGGATGGATTTGAGACACACTTGTAAAGGCAGATTTGAGAGGAAGTAGTGGCCGAGTGAATGTAGTAGGAGAATAGAGAAGAAAACCTGAGGTGACTGAAGTTTTCAGTTTTTGTGAATGGTGAACAGGAATGCTTTTAATGAAGACCCAGATGATTCAAGAAGGGCAGGGAGAAACTGACAAAGGAGTTCAGTTTGAGCCTCTGGAGGTGGGTGTGGGCGAGCCTAGGTAGGTGTCATGAGCAACCAGTGGTCAAGAGGGGAAAAGATCCCTGAGATGGAAAGCAAAGTCAGCACTTGAGATAAAGGATGAAAACTTGAATTTATTCATAAACACGTGTTAATGTCCCACAGGACTTTGCATGTTTAATCTTTTACCTCTATGGGCACAGAAGCTTTGCTTTTCCAGTGCAGTGAACCCAAGCTGAAGAGGCCTTTAAAGGGGTGGGAGTACTTATCCTCAAGAAAGGAAGTAAGTGTCACGAGACCCTAAAGGCAAATGTTTACCAGAGTATTTTATACTGAAAGTGCCAAATGCACAGGCCTCATCTATCTTGTTCCACTTCTCTCTCCAGCAACTAGAAGAGGGTCTGGCACCAAGCAGCTGCTCCAGTATTTGGGGGAGTGGGCAGAATAAATGGTAATAAATGCCACAGAGGATAGGAGGGAAGGAAGGAAGGAAGGACTGAAGGAAGGAATAAAGGAAGGAAGGAAGGGTGGAAGGAAGGAAGGAAGGAAGGAAGGAAGGGAGGGAGGGAGGAATCCACAGGGCACAGTGGGAACTGAGGAAGGGAGAAGCCACGTGCAACCACTTTCTCCTCCCTAAACTCTCCTTGCAAGACTGAAAGATGGGAAGCCATGTGAAGTGACGGTTAAGAACACCGGACTCTGTATTTAGGCTCCACGAAGTCCTAGCTGAGTGCCTCGGACGAGAGTGACTTAACCTTTCTGTGCCTAGGCTTTCTCCCTGTAAAATAAACACACTAAATCCTTAGAGTAGCTCCCAGGGGGAAAAGTAAGTTCCACATAAGTGTTATTGTTATTTTTGGCATCTTATGAGAAGGTAAGCCTGCAAGACAAGCTGGAAATACCCTACGGAGGGCGAATTCAGCTACTTAGCCTTTAAGCGCCATTCACAAAGGAACAATCACCTTTTCTCTCCCTTTGCCTTCCGGAAGGTTGGAACACCCCCACTACCTCCCAACAGACTTTCACTAGCACAAGACAGAGGCCTGGGTTTTAGCTGGGCTGCCAGCAGTGAGCCGTGAGTTTGCAGACCCCATGGGAGGGCAGCGCCAAGGTCCCTTTCCGCTCCGGCAGACCACCGTGTGCGCGCCGGCTGCCAAGCGCTGGCTCTCCCCGGCTCCAGCTCTCGCAGCCCCGCCCGCGCGTCCCGGGGGCCCTGCACCCTGCGCGCCCCGGCTATAGCCCCGCGCCTGGCACAGGGTGGGAGGCGCCTCTCGGGCGCCCTCCGGCCGGGATGCCAGTGCCCGGCGCCCGGCGCGTCTTCGCCCGCAGCCTGCCCGCGCGCGGCCTTTATACTGAGCGGGCTGGACGCTCACTAATGTTTAACTCGGCGCAGAAACTTGGGAGCGCCGAGTGACTCCGCGGCCCGGAGCGGCGGAGCTGGACGCGCGTCCCTGCGGTTCGCCTGACTTCTGCCTGCGCTCCTGCTCCGGGCACTCAGTTCCGGGCACACGCCGACGATGAAGGTGAGTGAGCAGCGCCTTTCCTAACCCCAGGGTTGAATTGTAGGTGCTTCCTCACCAGATTCTCCCCCAAATGGACCCCGAAGCTGGAGGAATGCAACCAGGAGCTCCTCTTCGGTGGAAGCTCCAGGGCCGCCCCCCAACAGGTGAAGGGACGTCTCAGAGCCCCCGCCTGGCGCTCGGCCCCCCGGGGTTTCTGCTAGAACCAGGCACCGAGCCTGGGAGGACGCAGAGAGCCACCCATAAAACGCCCGCTCGCACCCTCACTTGGCTTCTCTCTTACTTGGCTTCTGACCTGCAGGAGGCCGTAGAGAAGCAAACGCCAATGGGCTCAGCTGCCACAAGTTCAGGGGCAGCCACTCTTGCAACCTCCGCACTCCAAACCCTCTCAACCCACTGTGCCCCTCTTCCAATGTTCGCCCATGGGCAAATCCCGCTGCCTACGGTGCAGCGCGGGCCCCGAGCCTCTACCTCTACCAGACTGGGGCAGAGGGCTCGCTCTAACTGGGTATGATCTGACCGGCTTGCAGACGCCGTGGAAGGTGCTCCTGGGACTGCTGGGGCTCGCTGCGCTTGTCACCGTCATCACCGTGCCCGTGGTTCTGCTGAACAAAGGCAGTAAGTTTGAAACATTTGCAAATGATAAGAGAGTCGGAGACCAGTATAGGTTCTATCTTACCACACTAAGCACACGGAGGAGAGCTAAGGATCTCGCTAGGGGCTTGGACCAGTGCACCAAGTTGTAACTGAGGCTTCTCTGTTGGTGTGGCTGCTTCTAGGGAGTGGCTAGATGCCCTTGGTGGGGTCTTCAGTGTTTAGGCTGCGACAGCTTTGTATCATAAATACATACTTCCTGAAATCAAGGAGAAGTCTTGAGATTTCTTTTTATTAAATTCAAGTTTAAATTTTAAATTTAATATGATTTAAAGTAGAAAAAACCCAAACCTTTGTAGTTGTGATCTTCAAGGGAAAAGATGTGGTGTTTAAAGTTTTCAAACAGTAGTAAGGATGTCATAAGAGGAGGGAAAAAATAACAGAAGGAAAAGCCCCAAAAGACAGTTTTGAGAAAAGACTTCGTGGGGAACCCAGTTTCTTTTCCTTCCAGGATGATGAAAATCCGTTAATCAGAGAGTTAAGATGCAGAGAAATAACTGCTTCACCATTTTACAGGAATATGTCACAGTAAATCATAAAGCCGGTGTACCCGGTAATATTCAGAGGTGGGTGGGATCAGTGATGTTTGGTGGATTCTTTCATTTAAAGCTGCCTTCATTTTTTTAGCTTGCCTGATGCAGTTCAGCTCTAGCTCTTACTATAAAACCTTCATGTAATGGGATACACATTATTGGATGCAAACAAGTTGAGAACATCTAGTTTGGGTTTCTTCTGGCCTTACTTTCCTTTTAAGTAAATATTTACTTTCGTTTCAGTATTACACATTCTAGTCAGCCAACTGAAGCATTCTCTCTGGATGGTCTAGTCAGCCAGGAAATGTGCAGACAGTGCTCACATACTGAGGGGTCTTCTGTGAATTGCAGAGGGACGGTTCAGAATTAGTTTGTGAAGCTGTCAAGAGCTGTTGGCCCGGCAGTTTCAGGGCCAGGCAAAGGTGCCAACGGTTAAGTACCTGAGAGTGCTGACCTACTGATAATGACTTTTAGTTAAGAAAGCAATGGTTAGCATCTGCGTTCAGCTCAGGTCATGATCCCAGGGTTCTGGGATCGAGTCCCATATCAGGCTCCCTGCTCAGTAGAGAGCCTGCTTCTCCCTTTCTCTCTGCTGCTGCCCCTGCTCGTACTCTCTCTGTGTCTGTCTGTCTCTCTCTCTCTGTCAAATACATTTTTTAAAAAAATCTAAAGAAAGCAATGGTTACCACCATGTAAGACAATTCAATGGCAGACATCAGTTCCCTGACATTTGACTTTGTTGTGTTAAAATGTAACTGTTTTCATAAAGTGATACTTCATATTTTGAAACAACCACATACACAAAGCTTAGTTGTAAAATTGAGTCATTCAGGGTGCCTGGGTAGCTCAGTTGGTTAAGCATCTGCCTTTGGCTCAGGTCATGATCTCAGGGTCCTGGGATTGAGTCCTACGTCGGACTCCCTACTTAGTGGGGAGTCTGCTCCCTCTACACCCCGCCCCTGCTCATGATCTATCTCTCTTTCTCAAAGAAATAAAATCTTTTAAAAAAATGGTTCATCCATACCATCAACAGATATTCACATGACTGACACTACGTACCAGGCACTGTGCTACTTGTTGCAAATACAAAGATTAAAGTTTATAAAGATCTCTGACCTCAAGAAGTTTATATCTACTGGGAGACAAATATGCAAAAACAAAACAAAACCAAAAAAAAAAAAAAAAACCAAAGTAAAAGATAGTCCAAAGATAGTCCATTTGTCTCCAGAATATCACTGAGGCAGCACAGGACCACTGGAAGGATGGGTATAAAACTGTAATTATCAGCACTTTCCTTAGGAAAAGTTGGAAGGAACACTGACCTTCGATAAGCCACTTGAAATAGGCAGTGAAATGTTCTAGGGGCCTGAGTCATGCAACTGTCTTCTAGGGTGTTTGGTCAAGTTGATTCCGGGGGATTTTGCTTTGCCAGCTGGGGCATGCAGACTGGGGAGGGGCTGTCTTGCCATTTCCCTTAAACACCTAGTCTCTTCTCTAAATGAGATTTGGACAGATATTTCAAGAACATTCTTTTGATGAGGACTTCTCCAGAGATTCATGTGTCTCCATCTAAGCATCAGGATTCAATAAAATAATTTAGAGAGGCGTGAGCAAACTTACCTGTGGATTAGAAGGATTACTTCTGGGAATGTCAAGGAAGTCTTCTCAGGAGAAGTTTCTTCTGTGGGGATGCTCGAATAGTTAATGTCGGTGTCTGGAGATAAGGTTTTCCAGAAAATGTAAATGCCTTATAAGTCAAAGAGACACAAGATCGTATCTATCCTCTAATTGGGTCATAAAAGGACTCCTGGCAGAAGAGCAGGGTGGGCAGCAGCAAAAGGAGTTGATTTTAACTTGTGGATAACTTGCATATGCCTGGACTGTTGGGCATGACAGTGGGAATGTGGGTTGAGGGGGGGCAAGGCTAGAGAGGAAACAGGGAAGTATCCCAGAAGACTGATGATGCAGAGCAGAATTTAGAGGCTATCAGACTTCTCAGAAATGTGAACAATTAGGCTTCAGTAATTGATTAAACATAAAAGGAAAGGGAAGGGAGCTTAGGGTGCTTCTTGGGCAACTGGGTGGATATGTGGTTTCATTGTGTGCTTTATTTACACTTAAGAAATAACACCCAAGTTATTTCTTTTCTCATATTTCTTAATATATATATATATATATATATGCATATTTCAGCAGAAAAGAGAAGTCATCTTGTTTCAACTGCTGCTTTATTGTAGATGAAAATTCGGGAATGTGGCATTTTCACTAAATCAACAACCTCATTCCTGGGCTGTGTCACAACGAAGGACAGCATTCTTACAAAGAATTCAGAGTCACCACCCAAGAAATGTTCTCCATATTGTCAATCTATGTTTGAAGTTTAAAAAAAAAAATACCATGAAGGAAAAGAGGATAGGAGGTGGGAGAAAGGAAAGTTGAATGGAAAGAAAAGGAAGGAAGAAAAGAAGGGGAGGGAGGGAGGAAGATTTTGATAGAAAAAGAAAGTCCTTGATCCTGTGGAGAACTAAGAAATAAACAGCCAAAAGGAAGGAGGAAGAAATGAGCAAACCCAAGTTCATATCCCTGAGAGGTTGGTTTAAGAGAAGGTTAAGTGTTTCCATATGAAACAATGTCTTAAGCAGAACTAAACACACCCAGAAGAGAGAGAGAGGAGAGAGACAGGCAGAGAGGCATGAGCTTAATACTACTGTGTTTTTTTTTTAGAATAAAAACTCCCTGAGGTCAAGAACTGTGCATTTTGTCCAGCAAAATTAAAAGTTCACCTCTTTCTGTGTGTATAATAAAAGATTGTATGTTTGTTTTGAACCCTTCAGATATCCTATTATAGAAGGATGTTAAATTTAAACATTCAGTTCCCCAGTCATCAGTAAAATAGGTAAATATACTTTACTCTTAATGAAAGTATAGCAATCCTCATGGTTTGCGGGTAATAAAACCTCTGACTCAGTATTTGTGATCCCTTTACTTCCCCTTTCATCTCATATAACAGGCTATGCTTTTGAAATATTTGTCAGATAGTTTTATTATTGAGCTGTCACTCATCAAATAGTTTTATTATTGAGTTGTTATTTGTCAAATAGTTTTATTATTGAGTTTTATTATGGGACAGAAACATCTCTGTTGTTCTTTATTCTTTTCACCACTTTAGCAGTAAATTTCCTCCACATCTTTTTTTCAGTTCATAGGAAATTTGACTGCTCACCCATCCAGCAGTAATAAAAGAAAACCCAAATGTGAAGGAGACAGGAATAATCAGAGAAAGAAAAGATAGCATCTATGAAGTTTGCCTGATCTATTCCAGGTTTAAAAGCCCATAAGTGAGCCTGAATGAAAGCTTTGTGTATTTCAGAGGTCAGTTTCTAAACAGTGAGCTCTGTAAAAGCTCAAGTTGACTTCAGCTGGCTCAGCTGACTATTGTCTACCTTTGTCAAGTGCTCATGAGGTCAGTGGGTTGGTCTTCTTCAGGTCAGCGATTGTGGTTCCCTAGCTCCAGTATGTGCCTTAAATTTCTCTGGTAAGCATCTCGCATCTCATCCCAAAAGGGATCAGAGAGGAAAAAGGGAAGACTGTTTGCCTGGTTGATGGATAGAGAAAGACAGTGTAAAATGACTGACTAGAGCCAGATCTGTGTACTTAGCAAAGTGCTAGGGAAAACAGCCCTTGGGAAAAGTGACTGTAAGCACATGCAGGACCACCTTGCTTATGGAAGACAAGGCATGTGGACCTGTAATACCAGTTAACATGTGTTCACTCTGTGCCAAGTACTGGGCTGAGGGCTTTCAATGTACTTCTCCCTTGATCCCTAAGACCACCCTTTGACAGAGGTTCTATTATCATCTCCATTTGTACAGAAATGTAAATTTTACTTTGAGAGGCTGCTTTAGGGATTTACTACTGCATAATGAATTCCCCCAACACCTGAAATGACAGACATTTGTCATCTCACACTTTCTTCCAGTCAGGAATTAGGCGGTGGCTTAGCTGGGAGGTTCTAGCTCTAGGTTTCTCAAGAGGTTTTAATCGAGATGTCATCTGAAAGCTTGACTGGGGCTGGTGGATCCAAGTCCAAGCTCCATCCTGTGGCTGTTAGCTAGACCTCTCTGTTCCCCACTGTGTGGGCCTTTCCATGGGGTGGGAAGAAGGACCCAAGAGAGCGACCAGGTAGGAAGCCACAGAGCCTTTTGTGACCCAGCTTCAGGAGCGATACACATCACTTCTGCTGTATTCTCTTGCTCACCCAAGCCAGCCCTGATACCATGCGAGAGGGCAAGACACAAGGGCATGAGTGCTAGTAGCTGAGATCCCTGGGGATCCCTGGGGATCTTTGTAGAAGCTGGCTACCCAAGAAGTTAAGGAACTTGCTCAAAGCTCCGCAAAGTTGAGATTCACATGTAGGCAATGTGACTCTAG